TCCGCGTGGCGAGGTTCCCGGCCCACAGAAAGCATCATGACGCTTAAGGATCCTTACCCAAAAGGGATCCTTACATGAAAAACACCTGAACATTGCAACTTGTAAATGGTGGTGTCCCTTTATGTTGGTGGAAAAAGCAACATGTTTCAAATGGGCAAAGCCATGTGTCAAGTGGCCCCAGGCGCAAAGGTTGTCATCGGATTTGGAGGTCTCAAGACCGAAAGCCCAGTGGCTTCAAAACCAAGGCCTGGCACGGAGAGCGGCGCAACGACATGCAGGAATCGCAGCTGAAGCCGCGATTAGGTCCCTGGTCCTTTTCTGGTTAGGAAAATGGGTGTGGGTCAAAATGAGTCACCTTTGCCACTTGCCAGGGTTCCATTTTGGGTACCTATTGTTGACCCCCAGCCATATATTGTTGGTGCATTTTGCTTGGAGGTTCGGACTTTTTAACTTTTTTCCACTAAACCACTAAAAGGTAAGCTTTTAGCAGGGGAGCAGAAAGCAACCGAGGTAGTGTCTTTGCATTTTACAGGGACCTCCTAGGTTCCAGGTTGATTGGTGGGAGGCTATTGAATCTGGTACATGTATGGATTTCTCACGATGCAAGAAGAACCGTCGATATACGTTCTTTTAAAACCTGGGTTCTAGTTCGAGAACCATCAGGAACCAACCCCTTTTCAGGAAGCCAAAGGGCCGCCATTGTTGCAACTGGCATGTAATCAGCCCCCAACCCTGGTGACGTCCGCTCTTCCTTGCGAGATTTCTGTGGTCGATAGATGTATGGATGTGTCAACATAGAGGAGCTTGCAACAGGGATGGTGTCCGTTTGGTTTTCCAACACGCCCAAAACGGGCACCCTCCAAAAACGACTGATGAGTAATTTTGAGGATGTCACTCTAGAAATTGGTTCCCGTACGAGAGTCGCGAACTGCTATCACTTCACCCTGGCTGGTTGGAAACACATTCTCCCCATGGCTTCACGTCTACAGGTCCAAGTAAATAAATTTGTTGCCCGGTCTGGTCGAGCTGTGATGCCCTTGACAGCCGGAAAGAAAGAGAGAGAGAGAGAGAGAGAGAGAGAGATGATCCAGCTGCTTCCGAGGTCTCAATCTCATGCGCAAATTCCAGAGGTAAGTTGTAACAGACGCCAAACACGTTCTGGAGAGTGAGTCCACAAATTGTCCGAGACGCCTGTACATCAGTTGGGAGGGGGCAATCTTGACCCACGAATTGCTCAAATTGTGCTGTACGAAGCCTAGCCGACGAATGGTCCCTGGAGTGACTGAATTGCTTGGCGTCCTCTCAGGCAACGTTGGTGTGGCTATGATGTTTGACATGAAGCACCCTCATCCCCACGCAGAATGATGTCTGCCAAAGGGCCCGAGTTGAAACTAAAATGTTTTGCTCATTGACCTGGGTGTATCTTGTTTGTTTCGGTGCTCGCATGCGATGCCCAAGGCCAGACTTGGCGGCTTACTACATATCTTCCTGAAGCCGCGACTGGCCCGGAAAGAGGTCGAGCGACACTCTCTCTGATTCCTTGTTTGGGCTGGACATAGCAAGAATCAAGCCTTGCAAGATATTGTGTCTGCTCCTGTCCTTACTGTTTAAAGTCAGTCATGTCAGAGAGACATGAGCTTTCCGGCGATTAGACGCCTGCCAATGCCCACGTAGGGAAGTTTCCAGTCTAACCGTGTGGAAAGACTGGCCGTTTTTCTGGGCAGCCAGACAATGAGGGTTGCACCCTAAGTCGCATGGCCATGTGTTGAGAAGTGGGTGTGGCTCATTTTTTGTTCAGGGCAAGGGCAAACCGCAGGTTCTAGTCTTTGCTTCCATATACCAGGGCAACCCATTTTGGGGATTCCGATTTGTTTGAGCCACAGCCAAGTCGTCAGTCTTTAGCCTCGTCCACACAGTTTGGTGCAGGGCCAAAACGCGGCCTCGCTTTGCGCAAAGCCCAACGGCAAGAAACTCCGATGGCCTCAAGGACAGGCT